GCGGGCGGCGCCGGCGGCGGCGCGGGGTGACTCCGACCGTCTCGCCGACAGGTACCCGTGAGCCGGCCCGGGAAGCCTCCGGGCGCGCGGCAACATGGCTTCCCCTCCCCACCAGCAGCTGCTGCCGCACCACAGCACCGAGGTGAGCTGTGACTCCAGCGGCGACAGCAACAGCGTGAGGGTCAGAATCAGCCCCAAGCAGCTGGCCTCCAGCAGCCAGCCCAAGCACTGCAAGTACAGCATCTCCTCCAGCTGCAGCAGCTCGGGGGACTCCGGGGGCGCGCCCCGCAGAGTGGGCGGCGGGGGCCGCCTGCGCCGGCAGCGGCGGCTGCCCCAGCTGTTCGAGCGGGCCTCGCGCCGCTGGTGGGACCCGCGGTTCGACTCGGTGAACCTGGAGGAGGCTTGCCTGGAGCGCTGCTTCCCGCAGACCCAGCGCCGCTTCCAGTGCGCGCTCTTCTACATCGGCTTCGCCTGCCTGCTCTGGAGCGTCTACTTCGGGGTGCACATGCGGGCCAGACTGATGGCCACCGTGGCCCCGGCGCTGTGCTTCCTCCTGGTGTGCGCCGGCTTTTTCCTGTTCACCTTCACCAAGCTGTACGCGCGGCACTACGTGTGGACCTCGCTGGTTCTCACCCTCCTGGTGTGCGCCCTGACCCTGGCCACGCAGTTCCAGGTCCTGGCGCCTGACCCCGACGCAGGGCTCTTGGACGGCGCCAACCGCTCGCGCGCCGCCCGGCCCGCGGACACTTGCCTGTCGCAGGTGGGGGGCTTCTCCATGTGCATCGAAGTGCTCTTTCTGCTCTACGCCGTCATGCACCTGCCTTTGTACTTGAGTGTGTTTCTGGGGGTGGCCTACTCTGTTCTGTTCGAGACCTTTGGCTATCACTTCCGAGACGAACACTGCTTCCCCTCGCCCGGGGCCGGGGCCTGGCCCTGGGAGCTGCTGAGCCGGGCCCTGCTCCATGTCTGCGTCCACGCCATCGGCATCCACCTGTTCATCATGTCCCAGGTGAGATCCCGGAGCACCTTCCTCAAGGTGGGCCAGTCCATCATGCACGGGAAGGACCTGGAGGTGGAAAAAGCCCTCAAGGAGAGGATGATTCACTCGGTGATGCCCAGGATCATCGCGGACGACCTGATGAGACAGGGGGACGAGGAGAGCGAGAGCGCAGTCAGAAGGCACGCTACCTCCAGCCCCAAGAGCCGCAAGAAGAAGTCCTCCGCGCAGAAAGCCCCGATCGCCTTCCGCCCCTTCAAGATGCAGCAGATCGAAGACGTCAGCATTCTGTTCGCAGACATCGTGGGCTTCACCAAGATGAGCGCCAACAAGTCCGCCCACGCCCTGGTGGGCCTCCTCAACGACCTGTTTGGGCGCTTCGACCGCCTGTGTGAGGAGACCAAGTGCGAGAAGATCAGCACGCTGGGGGACTGCTACTACTGCGTGGCCGGCTGCCCCGAGCCCCGCGCCGACCACGCCTACTGCTGCATCGAGATGGGCCTGGGCATGATCCGCGCCATCGAGCAGTTCTGCCAGGAGAAGAAGGAGATGGTGAACATGCGCGTGGGGGTGCACACGGGCACCGTCCTGTGCGGCATCCTGGGCATGAGGCGGTTTAAATTCGACGTGTGGTCCAACGACGTGAACTTGGCCAACCTCATGGAGCAGCTGGGGGTGGCCGGCAAGGTGCACATTTCCGAGGCCACCGCCAAATACCTAGACGACCGGTACGAGATGGAGGACGGGAAGGTCTTCGAGCGCCTGGGGCAGAGCGTGGTGGCCGACCAGTTGAAAGGTATGCCGGGCCTCTTGCCTCCCCTGCCTCCCCGCTGCTCTCGGGAGCCAGCAGTCCGCTCCGGCAGCTCGGGCCTGCAGGCGGTGGGTCCCTGCACCTCAGCCCGGGCCTCTCAGGATGGGGCAGGGGCGGGTGGCGACGCTAGCTGGGCGAGACGGGAGCCCTGCGCGAGGCCAGGGTCTGCTGTCCGGGGTCGGACGCGGCCTTCAGCTGCCGGCTCGGACCCCTGAAGCGGGGCGCTGGTGTGCACGTGTGCCCTGCGGCCTCACCCCACAGCGCCCTTCTCCCTGGCTGGCTCTGTGCTGCTCGGTTCCCTGGCCCCCGGAGGCCCGTCTTCAGCCAGGACACTTTTAAAGTTTCGGCTTCCAGTTTTCGTCTTTGAGTGATGCTGTCTCTCCCGCCGGGCACTTTAGAGCTTTGGCCAGGGCGAGCCCCCAGGGGGTTTGAGAGTATGAAAAGCAGCCCGAGCCGCCGGACACTTCCGACCCCGGCCGGTCTCAAGCTCCCAGCGGCTCCTCCTGTTTGCACCGGCTGCTGCTGCTTTTCTCTTTCTCATTTTTATATAGAACGGAAGCCTCTGAGGTCTGGAAAGTAGGTATAAATAAGTAGGGCCAAAAATACGATTCTAAATCAATGCTCAGCCCCCCCTCCCCTTTTTTTAAACAGTCCTTATGTTTTGCTAAGGCCCTCCAGGCTGAGGGAAGCATCTATTTTGGAAGTAAGGAGAAAATAGTATTAAAGCCTGCATTTGTGAAGTTGTGTCGGGCCCGTGGCACCGTGTATGTTGGGGGGAAAAGCCCCAGCAGAGACTCCTTGGCGGGGGAGCCTGGGTTGCAGTCAGAGAGGGGAGCGTGAAGGTGCAGAGCACCGGCCAACCCCTCGGGCTGGCACAGGCCGTCAGGCTTGTCGTCACCCGCATCCCCAGTCGCTCCTTGCTTTCTGTGTGGTGATTGGAGCGCCTCGCGGCATTTACTTATTCATGGTCTTTAACCTTCTCCTGACTTTTACAAATTATATTAATTTTGCGGTAGCTGGAGAATCTGTGCCTGTAGTAGGAAACGCTCCCACCTGACAGTACGTCCCCAGGGAGTTTCCAGGGCGTCGATGAGGCTGGGAAGGCAGGGGACAAGTGTCTTCCCCCTGCTCTGGGGGTGCCTGTGGGGTGGGGTGCCAGTGTCACCCCTGCTGGCATCTCGGAACTAAGACCCAGGGTCAGGCTGGGGGTCCGGAGGACAGAGCCGGGCAGGCTCAGCACAGCGGGCCTGGGGCCGCGCGCGGGGTGGTCCGTTGTACTTTGCACTGTGTGTTAGTTGAGTTTCAAAAGTAAAAGCAGGCGTGATGGCTCAGACGCCTGGAAGTCACCACGTCGTAGGCAGTGACAGTTTTGTTTGCCTGCGGGCACTTCGACTCTGTGGATGAAGACTCTCACAGACGGTGGCCCAAAATGTGCCGGATGGGCCCGTGGCTATTCCTAAGCCTCAGGCGTGAGACTGGTGGACTAGCGTCGTGCCCCCTGTGTGTGAGGGGCAAGATTCAGGCCCGGTGGGAGGGAGGCAAAGCTAGGCGCTCGGCGGGCAGCTGTCTTTCCAGTTGTTGCCGGTTTTCCCTCCTGGACTCCTTCCCGGAGCCCAGGTTTGCTCCTCGGAGATCAGCACGCCAGAGCCGGACGCCGCACAGCCCCGGCCCGCTCGAAACTGTCCAGTTCGAGCCTCCTGACGGCACGCGAAGCTGCCGCGCTGAGCTGCCAGCATAGTCTGGCAAGACCCGCGCATGTGCGTGGCGCCTAGGCGACACGTCCCTTCAGCCTCGCCTGGGCACAGCGCCCTCCGGCCGCCCGGCGCAGCCTGCACGGCCCACGGCCTTTCCTGATGAAGGGGCTCACAGCTGAACCGAGCACGGGCTGCGTGGGCCGGGGGTTGCAGAAGGGCGGGGCTGGTGGAGGGGGCGCCTCCCCTGCAGCTCACCCCAGGGGCCAGGGGCTCCCCAGCCGCTGCACGCGGACCCACTGGCTCAGGAAGCTTTATTGTGCTGGTGCCACGAGCCCGGCCCCGCGGTGAGCGTGCGGGACCCAGAGCCCGAGAACCTCACTGTTACAGAGCCCACAGGGAGGCAGGGTGCAATGGGGTGCATTTGCTTGAGGGGGACTGACGGCAGCAGGGGCACTCAGGCAGAAAGGGGATAGAGGGCAAAGGCTGGCAGTGGTGTTCCGGGGCGGGGCGGGGGTGCGGTGCCGTGAGTTCATCAGGGTGAGGAAGACGGGGCGTCCTGTGGGAAGGACCCCTTCGTAGTGGGGACCATGGGAGACTCCAGGCTGGAAGCTGTGGGTCTGGGCACTGGGCACCTCGTAGCAGGTCTTAGCTGCAGCTCTAGGGAGCCCCTCCGTCATTTCGGGACGCCTGGGCTCACGGCTGGCTGAGCCTGCGGGTCTCCCAGGCAGGGTGCTGACCCAGCAAGCTGATCGGAGAGGTGGCGGGGCCGGCTCGAGCGGGCGGGGCGGGGCGGGCACGGCCTCGACAGTGAGCACCGCAGGCGGCTGCCTTCACGGCGGGCGCTTGCCGTCGGGACCCGGGCCGTGGCCGGAGGTGTCTGTGGGAGACGGAGGGCCAGGCGGAGAGCTGTTCGTTGCTTCCACAGTCTGTAGTTATGCTGCGCTCAGTTCTGGGTGCCGGGGTACAGCCATGAACCAGACAGACCAAACCGCTGCCCTCAGGGGTGTGCGAGCGTGTGCGTGTGCGTGCGTAGGGCAGCCACTCACAGGACGGGGGTTTGGGGAATGACGCAGAGTGGAGGGCAACCCGCTCCCCAGTGGGAGGAGGGGTCTGGTTGGGAGGTGGCAAGGAGGCCCCTCCGTCGCATTTGGGATGAGCCCCTGGGCCTTGGGGGTGCGAGCTCCTCCCTCCCGCCTTGGGCCACAGGCAGAGATGGTGAGGCTTGTCTAGGACTGTTGGTTTTTCCTGTGATAGAAAGAAGGCGACAAAGACAGAAAGTGAAACCACCGGGGACATCTGTAGACACCTCCTTCCCTCTCAACATTGGGAACCAGGAGCGCGGTCCCCGGTCCCCAGACCCACAGCAGCGATCACGTCTTTGAAGACGGGACTCTGGGGTCGCCTTACATTGTCAGTGCCGAAGTGCAGCAGAGAGGCCCTGGGAGCACCTGGGGCTGACGTGCCCTGGGGCAGGGGCTGCCTGCGGGCGGCCTAGCCGGCGGCCCGGAGCCCAGCCTGGCCTCACCGGAGGCCGCCCGCGGATGACAGCGGGCTGAGCCCCGGCAGCCTGTGCTGACGACGCGCTGTACCCGCCGGCAGTCGGGCTCGCTGGTTCCTTGCCGGCCGCCAGCTGAGACCCTGAGGCAGAGCCCTGCTCGCCCGCGTGCGTCCCTTGGCCCAGCCAGTGGCTGGCTGGCAGGTGCCCGCCGGCACCGGTAACCTCGGCCGGCCACGCGCTCTCGTCCGACAGCTCAGTCCTCTGAGGTCACGCTGGGGAGAGCGACGTGCTGCCCGCGCTTTTGAATGAGGTCTCCGCACTCGGGGCACGGCCCCTTGGGGCTCCCGGCCCGAGGGAGGGTGAAGCGGGACGTCTGATTGGCAACGAGGCTCTGAGAGCACAACCAGCAGCGGCCTGGGCCCCGGCAGACCGCGACATTTATCCGGGCCCCTTCAGGACAGTCGTGTGGCCCTGGGGCCCAGGGCTCCCCTGCTGAGGCGGGCCGGGGGCAGCGTGAGCCTGGCGGGGAGCAGCCAGGGTTTGCTGGGGTGCCGCTGGGGTGCCGCTGGAAGGGAGGAGGCGGCGGGCAGTCTCTAGAATTACTGAGAAAGCAAAGTTATATTTTAGTTTTTTAAAAGATTTGTTTTATTCTGCACACAGAACTGGGGCACAGGCACAGTGAGAGGCTTCACCAGAGTCAGAGCGGGGAGCAGAAGAGGCAGATCGACGAAGCGCACTGCTGAGGGAGGCGCGGGGGACAGGAGGGGTCTGCTGCGCCCTGGGGCCTCCCTGGCCCGGATCGCACTGGCACTGAAGCGGCTGTGGCAGCTTGCAGTGCTGCGCCCTGACCCGCTGCGCCACCGGGGGGCCCGGAAGGAAAGTTTTAAGGGAGCAGATAGACTAAGCAGTGACTAGTGGCAGGGCTCCCTCCTGCCAGCTGGGCTGCTTCAAGCGGCAGCCGCCTGCCTGCCGGCCCGTGCAGTCTGGGAGTAGTGAGCTACGAGAAGAGTCTCCAGATGTGTGTCGCGAGCACGGTCAGGTGTGTCCCGTGCGGGCCACGTTCTCCTTGTTCTGGGGGTGGGCGGCTCAGTGTCGGGGGTTCGGTCCCGAACGCCTGGGGCGCCCTCGCGGCTCACAGGCCGTCGGCCCGGTGCGTGAGGCTGTGTGGTGCCTCGTCCATCTCCCCGGTGGCCCTTGGCGTCCTCTCTGTGCTTTGTGGACCGGATCCCTCCAGGCCTTTTCCCCAACAGGAACAGGCTCCTCGCAGGGAATTTATAAAGAGCTGGGGGTTTGAAAAAGGAAGGGAGTGGCCGTGCGAGGTCTGGACCGGCCAGGGGCAGAGAGGGGCAGAGAGGGGCTGGGTGTGCTGAGGCTGCCACAGGGGCCTGGGGCCGGGGAGTGGTTGGCCCTGGGCAGCTTGTCCAACCTCCGCTCGGCTGCCGGTTGTGTCTCCCCAGAGTCTGCTCGAGAGCGAGTGGGGGCGAGGGACGGCTGGGGAGGGGTGGCTTCCTGGGCTGAGGTGAGCAGGAGCTGTGACAGTTCAGGAGCCTTCTCTGTGCCAGTGGCCGCCAAATCGTTTTGCTTCAGCACCCCTGTACGCCCCTTAAAAATGACTGTGCCCACTGCCTGCTGGTATGCATGGCCTATTTCATGACATTTTTAAAAAACCTTTTTTCAGAAGCAAAGAAATTTGGTGTGAGAAGTGGCACCATTTTGCATTTTTGCAAGTCTCCCTGGGGTGCAGATCACACCACTGGTTTAAAAAAAGTGGTGAAACTTACGTAAAAGTCGCC